GAAAAAAAGAGGTGAGGGAAAGTTTCAAAAGCAAAGAAAACAAGAAGGAGAAAGATGAGGAAGTGGCTAGTGCTCAGTGAACCCTCAAGTGTGAAAGGCTAATCCAGAAATCACTCAGTAATCACCACCATGAAATCGGACAAGGGTGACATCTCTTGCCACGCATACGCTCACCTTCCCTACCTCCTACAGAGCCTCACTTCCTAAACCAAAGTGACCTTCTAGAATCTGGCCACACTGCCTCAGCTCTTGGCCCCATGCCTCTCCTATGCAACAGCTTCTACACACCAGTAATTTCCTTCCAAAGTCCCCACTGACTTCTCATTCAGAGAAATATGCTTTTCCTGTTTTCAAGAAACTGGTACTGGCCCACGTGTCCAATAAACAGAAACTGGAGTGCATAAGGCTGCGAGAAGTTCAAAGGCATTCATGTACTGCACAGAAGAATTTGAAACAAGGGTGAAGTTTCAGGGACTCTGACGTGAGCAGGAAGGCAGAACAGTGCTTGGAACTTAGCTGCGTTCAGTGTTCAGAACAATCCTCATGGGTCTGTCACGCTCAAAGGAACAGAGTGTTGAAAGAGTGATTATGGTTTAAGATAGTTTGGCTGTCAACCAAATAGCATGTTACTCCCTACTGCCAAGTCAGACCCGTTTACTGATTGGTGAATTATTAATAAGGAGAATAATAATCAAATAGACTGATTTAAAAGTAAGACATAATTACCTTGGTAGATCTCTTGTGAAGGGGGTAGGAACAGCGATAGGGAAATTTGGACTTGGTTTCCATCGGGTCCCAGAATTTTTCTCAGGGTATCCATTTTCCCATCAGTTGTATGCTGTCTCCATAAACTTAGGTAAATCACCAATCTCTCACCTGCAGTTTCTCTCCTTTAAATGGCCCCTTACTCTCATAATCAGTGCAAGGAGAGTAGTGGCAAGAGGGGCAAGAACAGGAAAGTTGGCCTGGGAGAGAAGGCAGATTCAGAAGACAGGTTAAGCTCAGCCAAAGGGACAAAGTTCTCCTGAAACGACTCTTTAAGATGACTTCTTGATGTTTGACTGCTTCTTTATTGGATTCTTTTTATTTTTTCCTGGTCCTGAAACTGTAGCCTGCTTTTCTCTTCTGTTCTTGTAACTCCTCTTCTACTTTGGTATCTTCTACCCCTTCAAGACAGCTGAAGAACGAAATGCTTTCTTACAATGTTTGTGATATTTCACTACCATTGATGCAAGCATACATCTACTTTCATTTTCTTTTCAAAAACCTTTTTACTGCTATTGATTGTGATGAAAGAGAGCATACTGAAACACACATAATAGGGAAATCACAAGTGACAGGAATTTTTAAAAACTACAAGTCATTGATTTTAGTGCTCCTTGGTCATTTTTGAGGCATTAAAGAGGAATAATGCTTACAAAGAAATGATCCGTGTGTTTAGAACTGAGGCAGAGTTAGGGTTTAAAAATTACAATATTTAGTAACATATACTTAATAAGAATAAACACGACCAGGTTCAGTGGCTCAGCCTATAATCCCAGCACTTTGGGAGGCCGAGGTGAGTGGATTGCCTGAGCCCGTGTGTTTGAGCCCAGCCCAGGCAACTTGGTAGGACTTCATCTCTACAATAAATAAATAAATAAATAAGGCAGGTGTGGTAGTACACACCTGTAGATCCGGCTACTTGGAAGGCTAAAGTGGAAAGATCGCCAGAGCCCAGCATGACAACGCTGGGGTGGCCCTGAGCTTCTGCTGCACTCCAGCCTGGGCAAGAGTGAGACTCCAACTCGAAAGAAAGAAAGAAGGAAAGAAAGAAAGAAGAAAGAGAAAGAAAGAAAGAAAGAAAGAAGGAAGGAAGGATGGAAGGAAGGAAAGAGAGAAAGAAGAAAGAGAAAGAAAGAAAGAAGGAAAGAAAGAAAGAAGGAAAGAAGGAAGGAAGGAAGGAAGGAAAGAGAGAAAGAAGAAAGAGAAAGAAAGAAAGAAAGAAAAAGAAAGAAAGAATAAACACAGCATGCAAAGAGAACCTCAACTCTATTAACATTTCTTAATCATTATTAAGGGAGACACATGGTTCCCCGTGATACTTCATATTTCTATACATTCTTTCCTTTTTTCATCTACTTCCCTCATAGCTTCAGATTCTCCTATACTTTTCCCCTTAATGTCCCATCTCACCCCAAATAAACTCCTCAAATATTCTGGGGCCAGGAACTTGTTCTTCATATTAGATGCATTTTATGTAAAGGAACTGAGCCTTCTATCCCCCTGCCTCTTCCTGGATTTTGCTCTTTCCTACGCAATTTCTCACCAAAAAAATGCTACCACCATCACCACAAACAATAATAAAACTCTTCACTGGAATGTCAAGAGACTCCTCACAGGGTGCTATAGGGACAGAACCTGTCTGGCAAATTATAAGGCACTGGCTAGTGTCTTTATTGGTAAGGAAGAGGGAAAGTATGGAGACACTTGTTTACTCACATGTACATGGGCTCACAGGAACTAGGCCTGATCTGTCACATTCCCCAGTCTAATGTATCCTCCATTTTGATTCAAAACAAAGAAGCCCAAATGCATTTTTCATCGGATCTTAATAGTAGCTCTGGTGTTCTATCATCTCTACCTGTTCTTGAGACCCAACCCCTAGTGTAAACTTTCAGTTGTGAATCTTTCACAGCTTTTTGAAATCACAACAGTAATGAAAACAATATTGGTGAGGATGATTCTATCTGACTTTCATAGGACACTCTCTGAGTCAGGTACTGTGGTAGATATTTAATGTTGATTGTTCTGATTTCAGAGTCTTAACAGGACTGTTTAATTATCTATTGCGACGTAAAAGTTTGCTACCCACAGAACTTAGCAGTTTTAAATAAAAGTTTACTGCCCATAGAACTTAGCAGAACATTTACATCTCACAGTTTCTGTGGGTCAGAAATCTGGGCATAACTTAACTGGGTTCTCTACTTCAGAGTCTTTCAATCAAAGTGTTACTGGGGAGTACAGTCATCTTGCGATGCAACTTGACAAAAATTTGATTCCAAGTTCACATGGTCACTGGAAGGATGCAGTTCCTCATGGGCTGATGGACTAAGTGCATCCGTTCTTCACTAGTTCTTGGCCAGAATCTGCTCTCAATTCCTTGCCACATGGGCCTGTCCAGTATGGCAGCTTTCTTCTTCAAAGAGTGCAAGCCAAAAGAGCAATAGAGAGAGTCTGCTAGCAAGTCAGAAGTCACAATCTTTGGTAAGCCTATCATGGAAATAATTTCCATCACCTATACCATATTCTATTGGTTAGAATCAAGTCACTAGGTCCAGTCCACAATCAAGAGGAGAGGATTACTTACACTGGACGTAGATATTAGGAGATAGGGATCATTGGGGATCATCTCAGAAATTTGCCTACTTCCAGAGCAGTTGGGGAAGAAGGGAAAAAGAGTTGTTTAAGATTACCAAGATATTTTCAAGACTAGATGATGGAAGTATTTCAGGGTCAGGATTGAAGCTAATAAAGGTAGGGGATGGGGGTGGAATAAGGAAGTGTCTTTTATCATGTTTGATCCAGTGTCTTCATCTCTACCCTAACACAAAGGAAGAGCTAAGGAGATGGTGGGCATAACGTTAAAGGGTGTGTGGAACTACTAGGGTATGTGAAACTACTAGGACACTGAGCAAAGACTTACTTTTTCCACTGGGAAAGTTGTTGGAAAATAATGGCAATGGAGTAGTGGGTAGAAGCATAGCCAAGAGGAACTGAAGACAGCCTTTCTGGGCAAAAATGACCCAGAGTTCTTCTGGGGAAAAGACTTTTGGCAGGGATATGCCAAAACATGAAATTAAAAAAAGGAAGGAATCTGGGCATAAATCATATCTGGAATAAGGTATCTACAACCCAGGGCAGAGGAAACAAATTCCAGAGAGAAAACAGATGGCTGGATCTGAAAAGATTTTATTTTATTTTTTTGAGTTGGGGTCTCACTGTCACCCAGGCCGGAGTACAGTGGCATGATCACGGTTCCCCACAGCCTTGACATACTGGGCTCAGGCGATCTTTCTGCCTCAGCCTGCTAAGTAGTTGAGATTACAGGTGTATACCACCATGCCTGGCTAATTTTTGCCTTTTTTGTAGAGATGAGGCCTCAAACTCCTCGACTCAAGAGATCCTCCCACCTCAGTCTCCCAAAGTTTTGGGATTACAGGAATGAGCTACTGAGCTTGGCCTGGAAAGATTTTTTGAGGCAATTCAACATAGAGCAAAGGTGCAAAGGAAAGGACAGGAAACATTTTAGAAGCATCTGCAAAACCAAATTTCATTTACTATGTACTTTATGAGAGGGAAAAGTGTAGGATTTTCAAAACCCAGAAAGCCCCGCCAAATTCCCAAGGCTCTTTTACAATTATTTTCTCCAGCACTCTCCTTTCCCTTTTGCTAAAGTTCATCATCATCTTGTCAACAGAGCAGGAAACGAAGAATTCACATTCTGAATTTTTGTCTTGGAACACTTTTTCCAGTATTATAGTGTGGGGTCAATAGGGGAGAATTTGTTGAGGGAGACAAGACGAACATGCTAAGAACATGAAGAAATGCCTTTTTTGGTATAGAGAAAGAAGAAATCAGGAAAGGATTCCTTAACAAACCACAAAGAAGACAGTTCTTCAAGGAATGCTCATTTCTCTGGTTTTTGGTGGAGAATTACCCTCCGTGGGGATTAAGAGCCCAGTGCCATTTTAATCAACGGACGAGGGCCATGCTCTGAAATAACTGGGAACAGCCATGTCCTACCCAACTCTGGAGAGCAAAACAACAACAAGAAACCACTGCTTCCTGCAGCACACAACGCTGTGTTTTTAGATTAATCCTCCAAGGATATTACAGTTGCTTTCAATGGTTAATGAATAGCTTCTAAGTGCCTGCTTCATTTAATTGTCCAAAGGCCAGTTGGTCCCACGGGGTATAAAGCTGCAAGCTAGCTAATGAGTTCATTCTCTTGGAGCAAGCAGGGAAGCAGAAGAGTGGCAGGGTCAGGGCGCTAGGTTCCTAAGGAACAGCGATGCAGAACAGAACTGGCCTAATTCTCTGTGCTTCTGCCCTCCTGACGGGTTTCCTGATGGTCTGCCTGGGGGCCTTCTTCATATCCTCTGGCTCCATTCACAACTGTTGGGAGAGACTGATCATGGCCTATTTGCTTCTGCCTCTGGGGTTTGTGATCCTGCTGAATGGAATGTTCTGGAGCACCTACTGCCAGGCGAGTGAGAGCAAAAGGGTGTTCAGCCATGTGCTCAGACAGCATCTTGCTCATGGGGCCCTGCCCCTGGCCACAGTGGACAGGTATGTGTGAACAGCTAGCAGGGGAACTGAGATGGGCTGAGTTGTGTTAAATCTGGATAATTTCTAGTCCGACTTTGGAGCGACTTACATGCCCCATGGGTTGAATGTCTAGAATCAAGGCTTTATTGTTGGGAAATTACTCTGAGGTTCATCATTAGGAAGAATGGTTTCATCTTTGGGGAAAACCATGACATGGAGAGAATTTTTCTCTGAGAAACCCTACCGCCACCACCATGACCACCATCCCCAGTGAAAAGCCACCTAAGCCACTTTAAGAACTTTTAGGTTCTTTTGTTATATCATGGGAACTGTCTTTAGTTAGAGGCAAGCGATGGTTAGTTATTTCCCATAGCCTGTCTTCAAGGTTTTAAGGAAAGGAAGTCCCAGACCAAATTCTGTCACAAAACAAATAAGCAAGCCAGCACAAAAATCAGTCCTGTAACCTCTGTGAGCTCAAGAAAGTTCCACAACCCTTCGATGTTGTGATCTCATATACAAAGTTTCATTCAAGGCAGGGTGATAATATTCTAAAGGTAAGAACCTTACCTCTGCACAGTTAGGGTAGCTATTCACAAACAACAACAACAAAAACAAAAACAAGCAAAACAGCAACTGTTGGTATGTTGAGAAATTTAAATTCTTGTGCATTGCTGGTGGGAATGTTAAAGAAGTGAAACCACTGTGGAAAACATAATGGAGATTTGCTCTAAATGTTAAATAAGAATTACTGTTGGGGGGGAGGGCACATAACATCAATAACAGTACCAAACTTTACCTGTACAATGACCACTTATCTACCTAATCCTGAATTGTACTCCACATCTTTAAACAAGAATCAAAATAATCTTTATATTTTTAAATAAAATTTTGACAATAATTTAAAGAAAAAAAAAGAATTACCATTTGATCCAGCAATTCTACATTCTATATCTAATTCTGAGTATATATACAAAAGAATTAAAATCAGGGACTCAAACAGATGCTTGTACACCAATGTTGATAGCAACGTGACTTACAATAGCCAAAAAATGGAAACAATCCAAATTGTTACAATAGAACATTACTCAGCTTTAAAAAGGAGTGAAATTCTGACACACACTACAATTTGAATGAACCTTGAAAACATTATGGTAAGTGAAATAAGCTATTCACAAAGGGCAAGTATTGTGTGATTTCACTTATGTGAGTACTTAGAGTAGTCAAATTCCTAGACAGAAAGTAGAATGGTGGTTATCAGGGCTGGGGAGAGAGAGACTGGGAAGTTATTATTTAATGATAACTTCAGTTTGTGATGAAGAAAAAGTTCTGGTGATGGTTGTACAACGATATGAATAAACTTAATGCTACTGAAATGTAGACTTAAAAACAGTAAATTTTATGTTATATATGTTTACCATAAGGGAAAAAAAAGATTCAGTTAGCCTTCTGGTCAGAATCAGACAACAAGAAACCTCTCATTCTTGGCTGAAATAGGACCATTTGGAGATAAAACCTCAGACACCATTCTTAAGATACAGGTGGCAACACTATAAATTCTTTCACCCTTTTCATGCAAGGGTAGAGGCACTGGAAATGTGAATGACGGTGAGAGGAAAATGGGATTGGGAGAGGTAGTTGGGATTTTGGGACAGGTGGCCATTATCCTCAAATCACTCCAGGGAAGGGCTCACCTTTCTGTGTAAAATGCCTTTATACATGTGCCTGGTGACTCAGCCTTGGCTATTCTGAGTGAAGACTGAGACTTATGCTGTACAGTAGACAGCTCCTTCAGCTATTTGGCTTTGGGCCTTGTAACATTTGGAATGAAGCTGTGGCTACAAATGGCAGTCCCTGTTCTGTTGTGGTAACACACCATAAACATTCCCTGAAGGTACTGGAAGGACTCGATCTATAAATACACAATCCAACCAAACTCACCCGTCTATCTTCCTCTCCTCCACCCACCCTACTCCCAATCCCATTCATGATGGAGAAGCCAGAAGGATTTAGCAATTAGCAATGCTGGGTAAGATTACTAATGAGTAGACCAGCCCTGGTGTGAATGGCTTCTTTAGTCCATTGACATAGAAAGGGCTGCAACTGAAATCTGCATAAAGTTGTCAGTTGAAATAGTTTGAGAAATGAGTATGTTTGTGTGCTTTCTTTGAAACTAACTTCTGAGACTTGAGAAGGTGTTAGGAAAGAGTCGTGGCAGAGGTAGGTAGAGCCCAGGGATCTGCACGCCATAGGCTTGCATTCCTTATTTTCTTGGCTGTGTAGTTTCGAGACAGTGAGTGCAATTGAGTAGAAGATGCTGTGGATAGGAATGGGCTAAGTAATAGAGAGAAGCTTTCCACCTGAAGCCCCCCGTGGCCTATTGCTGACAAGAGTCTCATGCTGAATGAGATTTTCATGAATAAATGAGCAAGAGAATAGGAATAGCTTGGAATAACTCCCTGGAAAAGAAATATAACTAGAGGCAGGCATCCTGTGGCTGATAAGGAGGTTCTTCTGGAAGAACAGCACCTTCTTTAAAAACTGGTGATGCCAGGGAAGAAGTACATCTGTTTCAAAAATCAGTGTTTCTTAACAGTTTAACTTTGCAGTGTGAGTTGAGATCGGCAGCCATATGCCTCTTTGGCATTAAGGCCTAAATAACACATGCATTTTTGTGGTATTTTGTCCTCCAGGCCAGACTTTTACCCTCCAGCTTATGAAGAGAGCCTTGATGTGGAAAAGCAGATTTGTCCTGCAGAGGGAGAGGCCTCTGATCTTCCTCCACCTCTGTATACAGAGATGGGCCTGGATTTCCAGGATGATAACGATGGCCACCCAGAGGCCCCGCCATCCTACTCGGAGTCCATAGCTGATCTGGCAGCTGCAGCAACCTCAGAGGATGCCCAGAGGCAAAGCCGAGGGGAAGATCTCCAGCACTCATCATGGCCCCTGTGAGAATCAGCTGCCAATAATAAAGACAGGCAAGGGATTGTGGGAAGAAAAGCCACATTGGGGTCCCTGCATGAGCATTCACTGAGGGGATACCATGAGTGACAACTGTGCAATTCCACAAACGTGCTTGGTCACGCAAGGGCAAGGTGGGAGCCTTGGGAGGGTGTGGCCCACAGCAAACGGGCATTTCAAAGGATTCACACTAATCCCAACTCAGGCAAAGGTATTGCCAGCTCTCTGCTTTTGCTAAACTCCTCTCCCCTCACCTCAGCCCTGACAGGGAGGAATCGTTGTTACTTGTCAGGGCAACCACAGGGAAAGTTTGCTGTTTAATTTGCAAGTTGCTCAGCTGTTTGCTAGCTACTTTCATAGTTACCCCCACTGACACTAACAGAGTGACACAGTACTTCACCTCATGGGAGATGTGCCTTTGGAAACCATGAATGTTATTTTGTATTATTTTGTTTTAATTATGTGTATTTTTTCTATTCACTTTCAAAACGGTTCAAACACAAAGCATCAAATGAGCTATTTTTTAAAAGAGGTCCTCATACAAGAAGGCATGATAAGATTTCTTATATATGCAAATGGAGACACAGAATATTTCATAATACCCATATTCAGAGGGGAAGGATTTTTACTAGCCGTGGATGGTATTAATATACAATTATAACAATCTTGTAAAGTTTTTAAAAAATCATGTAATTCAGAGAATTCCCATGTAAATTTCTAGAATTTGGATGATAAGAGACTGCGATGATGTACATTCATCATTAACAGGGAATTTTTTTGTGTCTCAAGATACAGATCTTGACTTTTAAATGAAAATAAATGCTTGGGGCATTTATTTTAAAACCCAATGATTCCTCCTCATCTTTATTATGTTTTGTTGTATTTTTTTTTTTTTTTTTGAGTTGGAGTCTCACTCTGTCACCCAGACTGGAGTGCAGTGGCCGCTCCCGGCCACCGCAGCCTCGACCTGCTGGGCTCCGGCGATCCTTCCGCCTCAGCCTTCCGAGTAGCCGGAATTACAGGCGCGCGCTACCACGCCCGGCTGATTTTTTTATTTTATTGTAGAGATGAGGTCTCGCCTGCCCAGGTGGGTCTCGAACCCGCGGGCTCAGGCAATCCACTCACCTCAGCCTCCCAAAGGCGCGGGATTACAGGCTGAGCCACCGAGCCCAGCGTTTTATTGTATTTTTAATATAAGCGAACAAGTCAGGCGGTGGGGTGGTAACAAAAGATGCAGCCTGATGCTTCAGAACTTGAACAAGAACCTTCACCTCTCTGGGCCTCAGTTGCCTCCTCTATCAAGTGAGGCGTTTATGCTAGGGTTAATATCTAACAGTCACAAAATGCTTTTTTTATGACAGGCTTTGTGCTATGGACTTTTCATGTGTGTTATTTGGCCCTCATTAAATCTTTAAGAGATAGGTGCTATGACTACTTCCATTTGACAGATGCATACAACTGAGATGTTGAGAAGTTAAGAAACTTGTCCAATAACACACGATGACTTCCAGGAGGGAGAAGAAGGGCCCATCGAGGGATGCAAGAGGACCTACTTACTTCATACTTTTGTGCTAGGTTAGCTCTGCCTTACTTCCCTTCTTCCAAGAAGCAGTTTGGTTTTCTCTTCCCCTTTAGAACATGGGCTCTAATGGCAAGTGGAGCCACAGAGTTGCTGAGAACATGGGCTCTAATGGCAAGTGGAGCCACAGAGTTGCTGCGATATCTGCAAGCCCATGGAGCAGCTGCAAGGCTTGCTTTAGGGTTAATTGGCTTCTCTTAAAATGTTCAAGATGCCTGCGATGTTTTCTACCTAGGTACCAGGCCCTCAGCTCATAGTGTAGTTTCTCTCTTCTCTCTCTCTCTCTTTTTAAGTTTTCAAGCAAAGTTTATTTAGAAAGTAAATAGAGAGAGAGCAAGAAAGAGAAAGAGAAGATTCACCTTCCCAAGATAGGGGAGGTGGCCAAGGCTAAGAAAACATGGCGGCCATAGCTCTGTAGTTTCTCTTAATCTGACTTTTATATGGATGATAAAGGATGATTACTATGGGAGCTAGCACTTGGTGAATGGGCACAGGAAGGGCTTTGGGCAGTTGAAAAGAAGAATATAGACCTTTCAAGGTGGAAAAGGGTGGCCAAGATGGGATGGGGGTTCCTCAGTGACCTCTTCTTTCCCATGATTGCTGAGCGCATAAATTCAGTATATGCTGACAAAACTACCAGAAACCATGTAAACGGAAATCCTGGTTCATGAGGCATGGATTCGGGAAACTGTGATTTGAATCCTTAACATCAAGGTCATAACTGGCTATGAATGTCACTCATGTTTGTCTAATAGGAAGTTGATTGTTTATTAGCAATGCAATTTATTATTCCTATCTTACCAGACAGTTATCCTGACATTTTCTCTAGTGGTCTAAGCATACTCACTGACCTGAACAAGCAATATCATTGGTCTTTTATCCAGAGTTTGCATTTGTAATAGATCGTTTTTTCAACTACTGGTAGCCAAGCGAAAAAATGTTGATTTTGGTTTATATAAGAAATGGTTTTAATCTCTTTACTGCAATAAATTTTGTATTTAAATTTTTCTTTTGCCATTTTTTTTGTATCTGAAAAAAATCAGTAAAGGTCCATAAGTCAAAGTTCTATTCTTCATGCTAAACTAACACAGTGTCAAGATGAGTTCATCTTTCTGCAAACCTAAACATTATTGAACACCAACTGGTTGATTTGGAAAAAAAAAAAAAGAAAATACTAGGCACTTAGTGACTTTTAAAAACATATGTACTCTGAATCAAACATCAAGAACATGAGTATAACCCAAAACAAATCCTACTTTTGAAAAGGCCAGTCCTTAAAATCCATTGAGCGAATCAGACTAAAGTGTTCTATTGTGGTTGACGGTAACACATCAGCCATCCTCTGGAGGATTCATTCAAAGGAAATAGATAGCATGTCTCTTCTTCCTTCTCAAGTTTATGAAAAATTAATGGTAATAGGTTAGGAACTGTAATTCCATAAGTGGTGGGGAGAGCATATAGAATATGAGAATGTAGGATCTCTACTACAGAGAATCTTTCCTCATACCTTCCTCTCAATTGTGAATGGTAGGTTCACATGCCAATGGGGAAGGGATTGTGGCTGATGATTCTTCAGCATTATAATCTCATCATATCCTTTGAGCAGCAAGTTTAAATAACCCAGAAAATGAGGAATGTCAAGGTCAGTTATAGAATAAATTATACTGCATCTTTTGCAGATCTGAGATGTACTGTGTTCATTTTTGACTTCTCCTTGCAAAAACTCACAAGTGCTTTTACTGACCCTCTTCTCCATCCTTCAAGGTTCTACCAAATATATTGTCTTTTGTTGTCGTTGATGAGGCATTGCTCTAGCTCACCTACATTGCAGAGCACATACTAGGTGCTAAGAGACATGGAGAGATGGTAAAGACATGGATTTATAATCTATATCCTTGCCCTATTCTATAAAGTTCCATGACGATCTAGACGGACTCACATACCAAGTGGACTGTCAACTGCATGAGCTATTTGTACTGATAAGAACTCCAGCTAGTTGGAGTGGAACAGGCATTCTGCTAAGCTCTGCTGCTTCAGATAATCTCTTGCTGTCTGTAACTGTCCAGGGGCCAAAGATTGATTTGCTGGCAGTTACATCATTTCCAAAGGCACACAGTTTCTCAGACCCTTCTACACTCAGGAATGAAAATCTTCTCAAGACAGGTGTCAGGGATTTCAGTGTCCACGTGCTTTGAAAGTATCCAGTGCGTGACCCAGCAATGGAATGGAGTCACCCTGCTGTGTCATTCCCATTCCTGCAGGTACTTTTCAAATTCCCCACACTTGCCATGGCTGAAGGATCTGGACATCAAAATAATCCCACGTTTTTTGCTGATCCACAGGTAACTGATGAAAAGTCACCATACCACGATCCCTGTCATGGCTCAGCGCAGCCAACTCTCAGCCCCAAGTGCTGCCATGGGACCGTGCATCGGCGCTTCCTATGCAGAAATCTTCATGTCATGTCCAAGCCCTTCAGGCTATAGCATCACTCAACACTATTTATCCCTCAGTTACTGTGAATGCATGCTGCCCTTGGATCAGTAAGATTTGATCGATGATCTCATTTTAATAACAGCTGCCTACCCATTTTCAAGGACAGTTAAAAAATTCAAGACCCTAGCTGAGGCAAAAGAACTTTTTTGTTCTGGAGGACTGGCTGACACCTGGCAGGATATTTAGCATCCTTGATCGCCTTCCACTAAATGCCTCTCTGACACACACACACACACACATTTCCAACACCTCTTGGGTAGACGGCAGTCCTGCCCTGGTCGAGAACCACCACATATGTATAGTGTTACTTGCCATTTTTCTGGAGGCACATGGTGTGGTGAGTGACCCTGTTGGAAACAGCCCATCACCAGAGTGGCCCTGAAAGTTACCACATTCTATCCATAGTTTTCTTTTCTTTTCTTTTTTTTTTTTTTTTGTTGAGTTGGAGTCTCACTTTGTCGCCCAGACTGGAGTGCGGTGGCTGCTCCCGGCCACCGCAGCCCCGACCTGCTGGGCTCCGGTGATCCTTCCGCCTCAGCCTTCCAAGTAGCCGGAATTACAGGCATGCGCTACCACGCCCGGCTGATTTTTTGATTTATTGTAGAGATGAGGTCTCGCTGCCTCACCTCGCTTGTCCTATAGCCCAAATATATATATTTGAACCCGCAGGCTCAGGCAATCCACTCACCTCAGCCTCCCAAAGGCACGGGATTACAGGCTGAGCCACCGAGCCCGGCTCATGGTTTTCTTTATGATTGACTCGTGATTCCCACAAAATTCTTGAACCTCCCAAGTTATTAACTCTTAAAGACTGATGACTAGAGCCCATGTTTAAGAACCCAAAGAACATTATGGGTGAAGAATTGACTTCCTGCCTTTCACTTCTCCTGAGAATCAGACAAGAGGACATTGATGTATAGTCAGCAAGAGAAGCTTGGGTTTTATGTAAGGCTGAAACAATACCTTGGCAATATGAATTAGAGTGGGTTCCAGAGAGAGGATATATTGTAGAGCCATGGAAGGACCCTCCTTTTGGCATTGTAGCTGAGAAAAAATTCTGTAAAAATAGGTAGCTGCACAGTTGCTCCTTTCCATGGCTGGGCCCAAGTCTTTCCTCCAGCTGATATTCACAACCACGTGTCTGCTTCAACCCCCCATCCCACCCCACCAACCAAAAAACTCTACTCTTGGGGAAAACCCTCTTGTGCCACTATCTCTGAGTCAATCGCTTCTCTCTGCATGTTTTCACAGCATGTTATTTGTGCCTCTACATCTGTGTCTACCTAATTATTTGTATATATTTGTCATTCCCAAATTAAAAGTTCATAAGAGCGGGAATAATATTTTATCCATTTCCCTGCAGCTTCTAAAACAGAACTCTGCCCAGCCAATATTTGCCGAATGAATAGATGGATAAATGGGTTTAAAAAAAAAAAAAAAAAAAAAAAAAAAAATATATATATATATATATATATATATATATATATATATATTTTGGGCTATAGGACAAGCGACTCAATATCGAAACAAGGAAATAGAATTTTAAAGTGAGGACTAATTTGCATTTGAACTTAAAATTTAGAGATAATTAAAAAGTTCAACAACTTGAGGGGAAAAAATAATAATATCTTCTTATCTAGAGCGGACATGCCTAAGAATGCATCTAATTGTTCTGACCAATACAACCATGATTAATGAATGGATGGATGGTGGTCATGGAGCTCCAATTAAGAGATGATGAGAACTGAAGCTATAAGGTGAATTTCATTCTGCTGGTGATCAATTTTATAACTGGTTCTTTAGAATCTCAGTTCAAAACCACCTTCCTATTACTTTCAAACAAAGACAGTTACAATGGAAGACTAGATGCCATTTTGGTTTCTGCAGACTCCCAAAGGCAGTTTTGAGTAATTCACTTTTTCTCTTCCATTTATTTAATAAATTCTCCCAGTCATAGTAGAGAAAAATTACCCTTGAAAGTATTCTGAGAGGGAGATTTATCAGTATAGGTGACTATACCCGAGTATCTTAAATGGAGAAACAAACAAATAAGAAAAACCCCACAATCCTTGGATAAGGTTGAAAGTAGGCATTTCTTTTTTATTGGCTACTAAATGTCCTAGCAAGTTTCTGACAGAAGCACAGACAGAAAATGGAAACAAATACCTTCCTGGGAATGTTTCCTTGCTTACACTAACCTTGACTACAGCAATAATGAATTGCTTAACAGTCAAAGTGCACCAGGTCATCTCCGCAAATGGCAGCATAAGTGAGTGTGCCGTTCCCAAGGAAGCAAAACAGATGCAAACAGGTCCCACGCATCGTGTCCTGGCAGAGTGCAGATGAGCCTGCTAGAGCTGCAATATCCTTTTCCCAAGCAAAGAAAGCCAGCTGTGACCCTCCAATTTCCAGCAGGGGTCCCCACCCTTCCCTCCACCAGCAATGTACCACCAGCAATTGTACCACCAGCAATGTTTTCTTCCAGCTTCTACTTCATTTTCTACTTTTACAGCATTTCATTCTTTCCTTTTACAACCGTTGCAAGTGAATTCAGAGCCGTGTCCAAACAAGTGCATTAAAATAGGCCCTTACTGGGAAAGTCAGAGACTGTGGACATGGTGGTATTTTTGTCTTCTCAGAAGGAGCTTGTATAACCCATGTTTCACGCTACACAACATAATCAAGGAAAGGCCCCCTAAATTTTAAGCATTCATTTGCAGAGTCTTGTCAAGAAACTTCTTCCCACCTGCACAATTAAATGTCTACATTTGAAGGAAGGCAGTCAGCTAAAATAATATTACTTATAAAATAAGAGAGAAAAACACTCTTTGATATGTTTTGTTGGAAGTGCGCCATTGTGATTTGTAGAAAGCTTCAGAGGGTATGAGAGAAGGCAGTACAGGGTGTTGAGGAAGGTTGGGCCATCAGGTGGTTGGCGGGAGTGAGGTGGGCTACTAGGAGTTCTAAAACCATCCCCCACTGTAGACCTGTCCCAGGACAAAAAGTAACCTCCTCCATGCAGGAGAGTGTTTTCTTTGCTGCTGCTTCTGCATCTGCGGCTTAGGATCAGTTTAATTCTAGCCCTGCCCTCTCTTTAGTTATTTCAGAACTTTTTCTCACGTGGCACCAATGGTGCACAGATAGTGTAATTAACAGCTTCCTAGCCAAAGGATTCTTTCTCAAAAGGGGTCAAAAGGGGAGGTTCTTTTGTGTGATTAACTATAGATATCAAATGAGAGTGCAGCTTTAACAGAAAACTAAAGGCCCTGTTGCATTTGGAAAAAAACAAATCAAAATGGACTCTTTTCCCCACCCCCCTGTCCTCCAAAAGCAAAATATTTTTTGTTTTTTCCAAAGCCATGAGGCACAAACAGGTAACAAGAAGGCATCGGTGAAGCATCTTCCGCTGAGCACTCTCTTTGGCCCTGGCGAGTGATCTTTCTTCCATTCAGGTGATGACAGTGGGTCCCCTCCGGCCTGTTCTCTCATGAATCTGGGATATTTTCAGTGCAATGGCTATGAGAGGGCTCAGCACTGCCTGGAAAAGGAGAAAGAAAGTCTGTGAATAACTCGAGTCAGTCACAAGGACAGGGCATAGTGATAGCTCTCTATCACAAGCATCTAGATTCAAATTCCAATTTGCGGCTTACAGGCAGAACCACCATGGGCAGGAGATCTGTTTTTCTCTCTGACCTTTGTTTCCTCTTCCATCAAAGGAGATAGGAATGGGTAGGACCGGGGATAGGGAGAAAAGATGAACTCCAAAGTCTTAAACGGCTTCCAAAGAAATGTGTCCAAAATAGAAAAATGCACAACCCAACTGCCAGAACACTAGAGAATTTTATAACTAAAGCATTGTGAGTTAAGGAAACTCAGAAATCTCCCAGTCTTCTCCCCTTCCCCAACTACACCGGCCCTTCCCACACACCCATGCAACTTGAGGATAAAACCTATCAGGGCTAAGAAAGTACCTACTGCTTAGGAGAGATTCAATAAATATTTGTGAAATAAATGAATGATATGCAAGTTTGATGAAAAGATGAGTCAGATTGAGACTTCTGTGGACATTCATCCTGGGCATGTGGTAGGGTCAGCAGTGTTGGATTGTTACTCATGTTTTTCTTTAGAAATCACACTTTTGATCTATAGAAATCTCAGACACTTCTCTCATATCATCAACCATGCCTCATGGGGGGGCAGGGGAACTTAATTTCCCTGAGGTGCTTGGAAGAAGCCCTTGGAATGGGAAACAAGAAAGGGGGTTACAAACTGTGAATGTGAGATTTCTGAGATACTTATAGAACTGGAAGCCCGGAGTCTGAAAAGCAGAGGGGAACATGGGATGATGTAGCTTGATGTCTTCGTGTCATAGATGAGGACATGAAAGCCCAGAGGGAAGACATGACTGACTTAGAGTCACACATCTGGTTAGTGGCTGAGCTGTGGTAAGAACATAGGGTTGCCTCCTCTACTGCTCTTTCTATAATACAATTCTAAATATAAGTCCTGTGAATGACAAGGACAGAGAGAAGACAAAATGATCCAAAGGGCAGGGTTGGGAAAAATTGTGGGATTGTTTACCCTGGACCAGACAAGTCCCACATCAGATGAGAGATTGGATAGGACTGACCAAAAATAGGTGGACAGTGAAGAGTAGACATGTTCCCAGTTATGTGGGTTATGTGGACGTATTAGAAGCTCTGAAATGACTCTCCATGAGTAAAAGAAATCAATACAGACTTTAATCAATTATGTTAGGAATACAGCATCATTTTTGCAATTCCAGTGCTTACAGTGCTTGACATAGTTGTTCTAGAGTAAAGAGCAAGAAACAGCAAATACTTTTCTTGCTTCAAATCAAGTAGGCCAGGTATCCATTCAAGGATACTCACAATGTGGTTCCAGCATCTTCCTGCACCTTACAGGATTTGGTGGATGCTTGTCCAATAACTTGGACAGGCTACAGAGAGAACTGATGTCTGTCTGTATTTGTTTATCATAGTGCTTTTTTTTTTTTTTTTTTGAGGCTGGGTCTCACTCTGTGGTCCAGGCTGATGTGCAGTGGTGTAATTATAACTCACTGCAGCTTGAACTCCTGGGCTCAAGGGATCCTCCCTCTTCAGGCAGAGTAGCTAGGACTACAGGTACATGGCTAATTATATGTTTGTTTGTTTGTTTGTTTATGAGATGGAGTCTTTCCCAGGCTGGTCTTGAACTCCTGAGCTCAGGCAGTCGGCAGTCACCTGCCTCAGTCTCTCTCCCTGGTAGCTGGGATTATAGGCATGGGCCACTATGCCCCGTTTATCACGGATATTTCTTGCCTTGATTTTGATTTTTTAAAATATTGCATTAAAATATTTATGTTGATAACTGAGTTTTTGGCACCCCCTTCTCTCAAATTTTACACCCAGCTAACCTCATCCAAGTGCTCACCCTATATTAGGTTTTAACTTGTTCATCTCCCTGGAAAGACCAGAGAGTATTTTTCCTTTTACTTTCTTTCCCATCTTCTCTCTTGCTTCATGTCGTTGTTGTTATAATCAGTGTTCATGTAAATTAGATCCATTAAAAGACAAAACAAGACAAAACAAACAAACAAACAAACACCTAACAAACAGGAACTTCTTACTCTGACTGGCAATAGACAGAAGAGGTGTAAATGATCTGAATGTCACAAGACTCAAAGTAAATAGTTAACTGATATTTTCTGGAGGAAAACAAAACCCTAACCAGAAACACAGTCACTTATTAAGCAAGATTTGTCAGAATTTGTGGAGGGAACCCAGCACCAGGCTGGTCTCTATGAGGAATGTGCATTTGTAGGGTTAGGGAAACAGCAGGGTGGGGGACAGGGGGTTGAGAAAGGGTGGAGGGTGGAGAATGAACAGGTAGAGATGACAGCGTTTACCACAGTTCATCTTTTAGGACAGATGGTACACCTAGAGAATGCAGATTATTCAACAACAGAAAGCACTGACCTTCTGGCATCCATAGTAGAAAATTATAACAAATGCCATTGTCTCTTCGTACCTAGGATCAACTAACATCAACACTCCCATTTTGTTTGAAGCCTACTAAATGTGGAATGCCAGTCTTTTTCTCAAGATTTCGTTCAAATATTTGTTTTCAGTCAGTGTGCTGTTGGCTTAGTAGACTAAGGCAGTGGTTCTCAAACTTAAATATACACCAGAATCACCCGGGAGGGGGGAGGGTTGTTAAAATGCAGATTGCTAGGCTTCTCCTGAGTTTCTGATTCAAGGGCTTTCAGGTAGGGCCCAAGAATTGTCATTTCTGACAGGTTCCCAGGACACTGTTGGTCCAGGTGACCACTCTGAGGATCACTGCTTTGAGGATCACTGCTCTAAGTCACACTGATTATTGTGCTTTGCTCCAGCTAAAGGCTAAGTTGCCTTGTTTGCATCACAAGATCCCATCCCCTGAATGCAGCTGATTGGACCAGGAGTGACTCTCTGACCTTTAGGCAGCAAGTCCATAGGTTTGCTAGGGACCTACAATACAGCATGGAGGCAAAAACTTGGCTTAGCTGATCAGATTCTTTCACTTGGAGATTTGGATGATAAGCAATGAAAGAGCTGGCAGGTATCGGTGGAAACTAAACCATGAGTTTATAACTAATTAACCATGAGGGGACAAGACTCCATGGTAATCCAGGGTTATAAGAAAGCAGAGCCTCTGAGAAAGAAGACAAAAAATCATAAGAAAGCAGAAGAAATCTGGGGCAAGAATTAAAGAGACCAGAGGGAAATAATAAAAGAGTTGGTAGAGAGAAAAGAATGGCATGAATCCCAATAACCTCTAAAGGAAAGATCCACTGACTCCTGCTAGGAGGGCTTAAGTTAGCAGCTACACTCCAGCTCCAGTCTCTGAGACTTGGCCATAGACAAACACTACTCTTGGATTTCTTGAGCTAACTTTCATTTCTTTGTATATTAAAATAAATCAATATTTTAATTTTAAAACAAATTAAACTAAAATCACATTAATAAGCAAAACACCCGAAGTATATTTTTCTTGGATCATTTTAAGGAGCCGTCCATGTCCAGTTTTTTACCAATGAAAAAAGCTTTTTTCCTTATAAAACTAAACGTCTCGTAAACCAAAATTAACTTCCTCACCATGCCAATCTGGGGTGCCACCTTCCTCTTCCTGGCTCAAGGTACTCTTTGGTGAGTCTTTCTTTCCTTCCTGCACATCCAAGCAGTTGCCAAACCCTCTAATGGTATTCCCTCAATGGCCCCCCATACCCTTTTTTCTTCTGATCCCTATTGCTTCTTTCCTATCTCAGTCTCCTGTCATCCCTAGCTGGCAGAAATCTGCAATGTTTTCTCAGTCTCACCAGAGCGAGCTTCTTTTTGAAAGAGATTTGTTCATACCATCCTTTAATGTAAAAGTCTTGAATGGCTTCCTCTAGGCTGTGGGCAGCCACTCTCAGCATGGCTGTCAGGCTCCTGTTATCTGGGCTGTACTCTCTGTGGTAGGCCGAATAATGGTTCCCCAAAGATATCAGGTCCTGATTCTGGAACCTATAAATGCTATTTGGGAGTGAAAGGGGGTTTTGTAGATGTAATTAAGGATTTTGCAATTAAGATACTATCCTGGAAGGCCCCAAATGCAATCACAATTATCCTCCTAAGAGCCAGTCAGGAGAACATAAACACAGAGAACAAGGCCATGTGGAGACAGGAGTGATGTGGCCATAGGCCATGGAATAACTGCATCCACCAGAAGCTAGAAGAACCAAGGAAAGGATTTTCTTCTAGGGCCTCCAGAGGAAGCATAGCGCTACAGACACCTTGATGTCACACTTCTGGCCTCCTGAGCTGTGAGGATACATTTATGTTGTTTTAAGCCATCTAGTTTGTTGCAATTTGTTATAGCAGCCACAGGAAACAAATACACCCTTCCTTTCTACCTCTCCTCCCCAATCCCCTGCCTGTTCCTCCCTCCCTTTAGGCTGTGATCTCTCAGCCTGAGGCCCGCCCACCTCCACTGTCTCTCCTGGACTTTTATATACATTGCTCTTTCAGTTTAGAACAATTTAAAATCCACTACCCTCCCTTAGCCTCTTTCATGAACTCTCTCAGATACCCCTCCCCCCATCTCTCCATTTCCTGAACCCCTCACTTGCTTCTCTGCTAACTCTGGGGTGGAGAGTTGGCAGAGAATTTGAGGAATTTGTGTGGGAGCTTTCCTCTTCCTCTACCACACTGCAACTAAAATGTAAGCTACTGGAAGGCAACGTTTTTCTTAAGTGTTTGCTTCCTTCACAGTATGTGTCTTCTCCATAGGAAAGGCTCAAAATAATGATTGGTGGGTTTGGAATATTATGTCAAAGGTAAGTTATTGAATGATTAAGGCAGCGGGATGATCGACTGAGAAACCATCTTGTGCTTTGCACCCCCTTTATCCAGAAGGTTCATCTACAGTCGACAGGAGAGAGGAAACTGTCCATCCATTCCCTACTTGCTTCCCCCTCAGTCTAGGTCCAGATCTTTGTGTTTCTTAAGGCCAGGAACC